TCAGGTTGATCCCCAGCCCGCCCGCCCGTGTGCAGAGCAGAAAGACAAAGCGATCCGAGTCGGGCTTGCAGAAGCGGTCAATAGCAGCCTGGCGCAGGTTCCCACGCACTCGCCCATCAATGCGCTCATAGGTGTACCTGCTCCGAGAGGGGAAGAGGCAAGAGCAGGGTCACACGGGGCCTGAACTGGCTGCAGATTACAAACCCCTTCTTGCTCCCTACCCCAGGCTGTGCGTGGGCAAACAGGCAGCCAGGACTTACTTGCAGGACCTGTGCACGGGTGGAGGCTCTGTGTGCACTTTGGCTGTTCCCAAAAGTCATTCCTCTAATGATGGCAAAATGATCACAAGCCCACACACCGCGCGTGGATATGGGGCTCATGGGAACCAGGACCAAGGGAAGAGCCTATTTCCATTTGGTCATTCATAGGACTAGCCAAATGGACAGGTCAGAGCTGCCCAGAGCTACCCAGGTCTGCACCCACCAGCGTTAGCCTGTAACTCGGATCCTTTGGTATGCGGGCATGGAATAGCCAAATCCCCACCCTGGGGTGTTTCCACGCTCTCTCTCCAATGCAGGATGGAGGTGATGTGGAGGAGCTGTGGTGAATGCTGAAGCCTGTACTAACCTCCTCTGAATGAGATAGTCTTCCAGGATGTCGAGGCATCGCACCATCTGGGAGAAGATGAGCACCTTGTGCCCGCCAGCGATCAGCTTGGGAAGCAGCTTATCGATGAGCACCAGCTTCCCGGCTGCCTGGATCATCGCCTGCAGCTGGAAGTCTGATGCCTCCGGGCTGTGTGTTTTACGGAAGTCTTCCAGGATCTTCTCCTCTGCCCCTGCCAGGTGAGAAGGGACATGAGTCCCCAGCCTCCCATTCAGGGCAACAGAAAGCCACCACGCAAGGAGCAGAACCTGCTCAGTCCATCAGTACTAGGGAGGTTGGCTAGAGACCTCCAGAAGCCCCTCCACTCCCATGATTCTATTCCTTCAGGGCTTGCACCAGCTCTTGGCAGAACATGCCAGGCTAGGATGCTGGAAAGGGTCCTGTGCCAGAACACCCCAAACATAGTGAGCCTTGCAAGACCCTGAGGTGCCCACCAGCAAGCAGCACTTGCGGGAGGCCAGGCTGCCTGTGTGGGCATCAAGACAGATCACTGCATCCTGTGCTGGGCCTGAATGTTGTGCTGTTTTCAGTCAGGAAAGAGTTAATCTTTTCAGAGTGGCTGGTGTGAGGCTGTTTTGGATTCGCTCTGGCAATAGTACCGATAAGGTGTCTTTTTAGCTGGTGCTGGGCAGTGCTTGCACCAATTCAAGGCCTGTCCCAGCTTCTGATACCGCAAGCTGTGTTCCCAGCTTTCTCCCCACAAGCAGTGTGGGGACACACAGTTCAGACAGCCATCCTCAACTGACCGAAGGGTATCTCATTCCACAGCATGTCATGCTCGGTACATGAGCAGGGAGTGGGCCGGGGGGCCATAGCTCCTTTGCTAGGTCTTTTGTTAACTTCTCTGCTTGCTTATTTGCTAGCTCCTTAGCTCCTGTTAGCTCCTCTGCTAACTCCTTAGCTTGCTCATTCGTTACTGAGTTGGTGGGTTGGTTGGCTTTCTCAGTCATGCTGTCGCTCGTGGGGCTCACTTGGACCCTGCCGTGATTGCTTTCAGGCTTTGGCTCTTGGGCTCTCGGGCTCTGACTCTTGCTACTTGGGACTTGGCTGTGCATCGGTCGGTGGGTGGTGAGCAACTGTATAATTTATTTTCTATTATTTTACCTACTTAGTAGTAGTAGTATTGTTAATATTGTTAGTATCACTATAGTATTCATTTATATTCAACTATTAAATAGTTCTTATCTCAATTCATGAGCTTCCTTGTCTTTCTCTCTGGCACTCCTCCCTCCACAGGAGGAAGGGGGGCAGGTGAGGGAGCAGCTACGTGGTACTTTACTGCCAGCCGAGGTTAAACCACGACAGATGCACAACCACAGCAGCAGCAGATGACATGAGGGCCTGAGCTGGCTCCAAAGCTGGGTGAGCTCTGCAGGCTGGACCACTTAAACGTTGCAGTGATATCCGTCCCCCCACCTCCTGTGCACAGCCCTCACCGTTGATGAGATATGGGTGATTGCAGCACTTCCGCAGCTCCATCATGGTGTTGATGAGGTTGGGCATATTGTGCTGGTTGGCACCCTTGGAGAGGAAGGAGAAGTTCTTCTCCAGGATGGCCCGGTAGTATTTCTTCTGGATATTGGTCAGCTCCACCTCAATGATGGTCTCCTGCTTGGGTGCCAGATTCTTCTCTACATCATCCTTCAGCCGTCGCAGCATCATAGGTTTCAGGATGGACTGCAGCTTCTTCACCTGCCAGAGCAAGCGCAGAGATTCACTGCCCCCCTGCATGGCAAGCGCACGGTGACAATGCTAGAGCTTCCCCGGCCTGGAAACCCACCACAAATCACCCCAAAGCAGCTGGTCTGCTGACAGCCAGAACATCTTCAGGGTCTGGCTTCCCTGGGGCAGCCTGTGAGTGATCAGCCCTGGGCCATGAACTCCACATGCACTTTTACTGCTAGCAGCCTTGGATAAATGCATCTGCTGCAGGAGGAGAGCGGAGAGCTTTGATAGCAGCAGAGACGATTGTTCCATGTGCCTGTGCCTGTGCCCTCGGAATGACAATCTTTGTGCCAGCTCCTCTTAAGCCAGACATTCAAACAGCACCCAGATGGGCCACGGGACTGAGCTGCTTTCCATAACCCATGGCAAAGGGGAACTTTGGAGGATGGCTCCCCAAGGGAATGTGACAAGGCCAACTGACCCATGGACTTACTGATCTCCTCACTCCCCCTACACTCCTGTTGGTCTCGGGGACAAACCAGTGAGCTGTGCTGCCCCAGCATGCAAGGGGCATTGTGGAGCGAGGTGGGGCACAGACCACTGCCTTGGCACAGGCTGGTCTCTCTCCAAAGCAGTGCTGGGGGTTCTGTCACAATTTTGCTTCTCCCAGCACGAGGTGACCTATTCACTTCCATGAAGCATGTGTCTGAGGGTGTGCCTGGCATGGTGACCATGTGTCCCAGTGTCCTGTGCTAACAGTCACCAGTGTCACTCTTCTAGGTACCTGCTCCTCTGTCTTCAGGTCTCCGAACTCCTCCAGGAAGGCTGTCTCTGAGGGAAACTGCTGTGGCTCCAGGAAATTCAGGAGGCTGAAGAGCTCCTCCACAGAGTTCTGCAGGGGGGTCCCTGTCAGTAGCACCTTGTGCTCCTGGGTATACACAGAAAACTGGTTGAGGGCTCAGAACCACTGGCTGGGTCCAAGGAGTCCCAAGAGCACAACACTCCCTGTCTTTCAGTCTCAGGAGCACCCTGGGTGGCCTTTTAAGGCTCCCACACCATAGGGCCAGCCCTAACCCAGCCACTGCCATGAAACACTGCCTTGTGGTTCCCAGGATGCTCCCAAGGATGTGTCCCAGTCCAGCTCTGTGCAGCATCAACAGCCAAAATCGAGAATCCCCATGCTGTCCCCAGGCTTCAGGCCTGCCCTGGCACAAGACCCTCAGGCAGAGCTGTGCTGGCACCAGATGGGGATGCTGACAGAGCCTGAGCCTCCGTGCACCTGGGACCAGGATGTCCCTCTTCAGGGCTTGGGTAGAACAAGACAGAACATGGCTCAGAGCCATGTAATACTGAGGGGCATCAGGGCCCTGATGCCAGCACAAGCAGGTTGCTCCAAAATCAGCAGAGGCACATATGACTGTGTCAAGTGTGGACTACAAACAAGTAGGAGCAAACAGGATCACGATGTAGTCACGTGCGCAATAAAAGGAGACAGGGGTCCAGAGAACCCTGCAAGACCTGGAGGTATGAGAAGCAGATGATCCCTCAAGGCTCTGGCCTCCTGGGGTGCACCAGCTGCTCAGTCCCAGCAGTGCCAGAGACTTGGGTGCTCACTTACTGCTCATACAATCCTCCGGCCCAACCGAATGCAGGGAACATCCCCAAGAGTCACCAGCTATGAAAGCAGGGCAATTGTAAGGTGGGAGGCTCCACAGAACTTGTACAAAGGAAGGTGATGGTTACAAAACGGGGCCAGCAGCAATCCTGCTTTGCCCCAGGCTGCTCCCAACCCAGCAGGGACCTGCACAAGACAGAAGGTCACAGGGAAACAGCAGGGTCTTTGGGAACTGTAGACGTAAGACTAAGGATTTTTGGAGACCTGGTCCAGCCACAGGTGAGTGTGATGGAAGCTGGGTAGGGCTGGGAGATCCAACAGGCCTGACAGTCGTCAGTCCAGCTAACAGCAGCACTGCCTTTCCCAGGGCTGGACATCCAAAATCATTCCTCAGAGCAGCTCCTTGATCCCTTTTTCACCATGCACAGTCCTGCACCCCTGTCCCTGGCATGGACTAGTCCCATGTGTGCAGGGCGGTAAGAAACCAGCTTGAATACTGCAGCCCTGCTCACCACACCCCACAGCCAGAGGATCTGTCAGCAACTGCCTCTGCGTGCTGGAGCCACCGAAGCTGCACTGCAAGGCCAGGCAGTGCTCTGCCAGGGAGCACACACAGACGGGAAGGCATGGCGGAACTCGGCCTGCTCCGGGTTAATATTCCACTTAGGCAAAAAGGAGTTTGTGATGGCTGCAGGGCACCAGTGCCCCATCCACCAAAGGGCCCACATCACTGGCACTGTTTCAGTGAGCTGATGGGTCCTGGTTGGTTTCCCCTGACAGGGTGCTCTCAGCCTTGGCACTGGGTGTGGGCAGCCGGCAGTGGCATCTGACTGCTAAGCACGGCCATCTCTGGCCCACCCTACTCCCACGTGTCCTGGGCAGGACATGCTTACCAGGGCCATGAGCTTCAGCCCCTCCAGGAGTTTGCAGTTTCTGTTCTTCAGGCGATGTGCCTCGTCAATGACCACACAGCGCCACTGGATCTTCTTCAGCTCTGGGCAGTCAGCAAGGATCATCTCAAAGGTGGTGATAACCACCTGGAACTTGAAGATCCCAGGGAGCGGGTTACCCTAGGGAGATATAAACCATATGCAGTGCTTGACTCCTGCAGGACGTCAGGACACTGTCAGCCATCCCGTCAACATATCAGTGTTAGCATCTGGGTCTTAGCTGGGATTTCCTCCCCACATTCATCTCTCTCAAGCAGCAGGCAGGTTCCTGCAAGCCTCCTGGCTGGCTGCAGGCTGCGTCTCTCCAAAACAGACACTGCTTCAGGGCAGACAAACTGGTCTGGACAAGGACTGCAGCTGGGGCTCTGCTGCATTTTACCCTACCTGCAGGAGCTGGGCCTGTCCTTCACTCATACACAGTGCACCCTGAGCCCATGCCAGCAGAGGGGTCTTACAAGATCACCTTTCCTTCTCCAGATGAACCACAAGCTCTACATGCAGCTCAGTGCTTCCCAACTAAAGAAAGCCAGGGCTGGGGGATGCATCCTGGGAATGCTGCGTGCGTCAATCACCTGCGGGTCCCTGTATACCATCTCATACTGCTGGATCATCTGCCGGCTGATCTGGCTGCCGTGGTACACAATGGCATTCATCTCCGTCCAGGTGCGGAACTCCCTCTCCCAGTTGGTGATGGTGGAGAGAGGTGCGATGATGAGGAAGGGGCCATGGATGCCCATCAGGAATATTTCTGAGAGGAAGGTGATTGACTGGATTGTCTTCCCCAGTCCCATCTCATCAGCCAGGATGCAATTCTTCCTGCAGAGATGGACAAGGGCAGATGAATGTGGCTCTCGGGCAGGAACCATCCTTTTGCCAACTCCTCAATGGGATGTCAGGCACACATCACCTCCATCCACATTTCTGACCTTGCAGTGTGGAGGGTGGGGGGACACTGACACAGTGGCCCAAGCCGGTCTGGGTAAGCCAGACCAGCCAACTTCTTGCAAGATAACAGATTCAAAGTTAGTGTGAAAGATGCTGTCCTCTGGGTGCACATTAGCCAGTGAAAGATGCATCTGATGGCCTGCTGCAACTGAGAACATGCATATTCCTGCACCTCAGCCACAGGAATGGGTCACCAGTAGCTTCGCCAATACCAAAAATCAGGTGTATCTTAGATCCATAGCTAAGCCCCACTATTTCCTAGACTAATCAGCATTTACCAGGGAGAAACCTTCCTAAAGACTCAGTTGCAAAGCTAAAACACACATTTTTTTCTGGCAGTTGCCTGCCAGCTCCAGCACTGGAAGGTCTTGGTGGCTGCTCTGTGAGGCCCCTGCCTGTCAGCTCTGCTGCTCCCCTGACCGCACACACCAGGGCCCCGTTGCCAGCAGGACTTCTGGTGGGAGCACAGGGCTCCAGCTCCTCCTCACCTGTTGTACCAGTTAAAAAGCAGCCAGTTCATTCCCTCCAGCTGATACTCCCGCAGCTGGTTGCTGTTCTTATACTCCCGGGACTTCTCCAGTTTCTGCCAGGACTCAGATGCCGGGCGCTCCTAGGAGAGAGCAGGAGCAAGGTCCGTGGAGAGGAAGAGGCTAATGATCAGTGAAGTCAGACCCCACTTCTGGGGCTGCACATCAGGACAACACTTCAAAACAGCCACTGACAGCGGATTCCCAGCAAGGTCTTGGCCTCCAGATCCCTCCCTCGGATTCTGCTAACTCACTCATCCTGAGGGGAGGATATGGGGCTTGCACTGCAGCAGCAAGGACAAGAGGGTCAGCAACTGCTGGACCTTGGCAAGACACAGACAGTCCCTGCCTGCCCAGGGCAGCGAGCTGCCAGCCGGGTACGTTACCTCTGGGTACGTTACCATGTGCTTGATTTCTGGAGGGATTTGGAGAGCTTCAAACTCTTTAATCTTCCCAGGGTCAACATCCTCCTCCAGCTCCCAGGTGCTCTCCTCGTAGGGCAGTGAGCACCACTTCACCAGGTAGTGAGTCACCTCCTGCAGCACAGAGACAGGCTCAGGACTGTGCAGGGCTCATGCTGCTCAGCCCCTGTGTGCGGGTGCAGACTGTGACCAAGAGCAAGTCACGGGAACAGTCAGCAGCCCTCCATTTAGCCCTGTGCCAAGGGGTCCCCGGTGACATGGCTCAGGCTGCGCAAGGCTGGGAAGGCCTCAGGGTGCTCAGAGATGACATGCAATGCACGTCATGGGTCTGGGCCTCCTGCCAAGCCTCCCTCCCTCCCTCTCTCCCTCCATGGGGCAAGCAAATGCAGCCACTCACTTCCCCGGTGTCAGGGTCCTTTGTGTGAGCCACCTCCAGAATTCGATCTACCTCCACGTAGTCTGGGTTGAACAAATCCTCATCGGGCTGCGACAGCAAAAAGAGAGTTAGGTTCAAGGTGATTCCAGGGTTAAACAGATGGCAGGCATAAGTAAACAGCGGCGGGACATCTGTCCCCAGGATGCTGCTAGCTGTGCACAGTACACCAAGTGCCCTGGATGCAGGTATGTGACATCTATCTCTGGGCAGCGAGGACACAGGAGCCCTGCAGAAGGCAAAGCTCTTGCTTTACAGCAGCTGCAGGTTCTGTGCTGCCCTTGCTGAGAGGCGGGAACGTCCTCTCCAGCCCATCTGGCCCGAAGGTACAAAGCCTTGAGCTGTATGCTCCAGCTTATGTGCACCAACTAGAGCTGTGACTGTGACAACAGAGCGCCACACACAGCACCCGATGAACTCCACTCCTCTGCAAGGGATGACACCCTGCTCTCTGTTTCTGCCTCTCTCCCCCCCACCTTCTGCTCAGCAGTCACCAGCAGCAGCTGCTCATGAGGCAGGGTCTCATCCTCCTGCCAGGACACCTGAGGTGGAGTGGGCTTTAGACTAGCAGTGGTCCTCAGAGCGACACATTGTCTAGGTGTTGGGAAGGAGAAAAAACAAGCTTCTACGTCTACAGCTTCCCAAGTTAAGTCATAGGAAAGAACGTTTGGTCCTTGCTACTTGTTAGTGGTATAGTGCGTTCCAACACATGCTTTTTCTTTGCATCCTGGGAAAGACCCCAAACAGACTCGGGAGTGAGAAATTTGACAAACACCCCCAGCTTTCCAACTACATCCATGGAGAAGTTTTCATAGCCTACTGGCCTGATTTACACTTTCAAGGGGCAGTTTGAGGAGATCCAACATCTGCCTCTGAAGCAGCAAGATAAATTATAGAACACCTTTCATATTAAACAAGATTAATCTGCTTAGAGAGCAGAGCAAGCAGGAGCTGCCCTAAGCCCAAGTATTTATAGCTCCCTCTCTCTCACAGCATCTCTGCTCCACCATGAAAGCACCTCCAGCACTGCGCACTGCCTTCCCTCCCACTGAGCAACCCTTCCAAGGTTGGCAGTGCCTGGCAAGTGACATTTGTCCCCCTGCCAGTGCACCACGGGTGTTCAGGGCACTGTCACAGCCCCTTGGCTCCAGCAACCTCACTCATTCACCCACCTGTGCTGTGCCCTGGTTCAAACCAGCCTGGAAGCTCGAGGTGCCATGCTGCTGCCTGGGCATTGCCATGGTGCCAGCAAGGGGACACAGGCAGGGCTCTGGGCAGCAGCCCAGCATCACTGAGCTACAGCAGAGCTCAGGCAGGGCAGGCACAGCTGTGCAGTGAGCCCTGCCTGCCCACCCCCAGCCCTGAATTTTGGCCCTGAAACTGGCTTCGCCAGGGCAGGGAGGTGCCAGAGGCAGGGCTCAGATCTTGGCCGGCTCAGCCACTGCACTGGGCACAGCTGCTTCCCGCACTCAGCTCTCACCTCTGTGAAAATATGCTTCATCTGAGCCTGCTTGTTCCGGAATCGCTTTATCTTCTGGGAGATCCTGGGGTCCTTCTCCAGCTCCTCCAAAGTTGCCCACTTACAGTGGAGGTAGGAGCTGCAGAGGAAAAAAAAAAAAAGAAAAAAAAAATCAACAAAATAAGACCAGAGAGGCCTTTGGGCCTGATCCCACCTGCCCCACAGACCAGTTCCAGAGAACACCCAGTCCATGCCTCCCGTGTGAAACCCCAAACTGGAGGAAGCTGTGGCCCAGGTCCTGGCCAAGACTGAGCACTGTGGCTGCAGGGGCTTTCCTGCTTCCCACTGCTGGGGCTTGCTCAGCCCAGGGACAGCAAGCCAAAGATGCTGGGGCTGCAGCTGGGGATGGGACAGAGCTGGGAGCACACAGCCCTCGCTCCTGCATGCACAGGGCCCGCTCCCACATGCACAGAGCACCACAACGCTGCACATACAAGTTCCTGTACTTGACGTAGAATTCCTCCATCTCAAATGTCAGGCCTCCAGGATGAGCCTGAAACCAACAGAAGGAGAGTTAGCAACAGTCAGAGCCTGTGCAGAAACTGGGGACATCCTCTGTAGCCCGGGCACAGACCCATGTGGCCTGCCTGCCCACAGGCTCCAGGCATGCTGAGCCCCATAGGATGGTGAGGATGCCCAAGCACTTTGTGAGCTGCCCATCCCCAGAGGCTCAGTGGCCCTGGGAAACGTGGTGCGAGACGACCCTTAAGCATGGGGGACTCAAATGCCTCCCAGACCATCATCCCAGGCCTGACTGCTCTGCAGAGGCTTTCTGGTGCCCAGGGCAGGAGAGGCACCACATTAATCCCCAACCAAGAAAGGTGCCAGTCCGGGCATACCCCAGCAGCACCCTGCAAACAGCAAGTGCAAGGAATGGCACGGCAGCACCAACTGCTGCTACATCCCATGTCCCTGTTGTACAAAGCAGCCAGGTCCCACCTCCCCCCTGCACAGGGACCTCCAGCCCCGCTGACCTCTCTGCCACTCACCTCCTTCTGCACCATCCTGGAGGCAAGGATCTTCTCAATGATATTGGCATCATCCTCGGGAGGCTCCTGGGGACAGGAAAGCAGAGTGCTGTTTTCCTGGCTCATCGTGTGGCCTGGCCTCTGGTACCAAATGCACAGAATGGCTGCTTGCTCCTCTCCCAGCCCACCAGCTGGGCAGGCAGAGCCGCACAGTGGGAACTGGGAAAGCTGCACTTGGGGAACTCTTGCTGGGTGTGAGGGTGTGGGTGCTGCCAGTCCAGCTACACCTGCCCTCTGCCTGTGCTCCCCAAGCCAGCAAGGCCACAGCACTGTTGTGTTTCGCTGTGCAGGAGGGTCCTTCAAACTAGACCAGGGCAGCCAGACAGTCTCCCAGAAATGAGGAGGGAGATTGGGTGCTCCTGCCCCGAGTCACAATATATGGTAATTAATGGTATATTAATATTTGATAATATGCCAAAATGCACACATCTCCTGTTCCCGGTCACTCTCCATGCCAGATTTCTGAATGCTTTGGCATTTATACAACCCTATAGTGCTGGATGGTCCTGAGGGCCCCGGCAGAGAAGGGAGCAGGGCTGTCGGGCCCTGCCACAGCCATCCTCAATTGCTGCCACCTACCCAAGGCCATAGGACATGGGCAACAGCACCTCAGCCCCACCACTTTCCCTGCAGCTCTTCCTGGCAGGCTCAAAGCACTGCCTCCTTCCCTCTGCAGGCTTCGACTCTGCCATGAGGAAATCCCCCCAGGAGGCTGCAGAGACCTTCTGCTGGTCACCCAGAGGCTCCCACTCCCGCACACTGAGCACATGGGGAGGTGGCCCTAACGCTGTCCTGCTTCCAGCTCTGAGATGGCAGGCATGGGGCTGCGTGCTGTGGCAGGACCAGCTCCACCAAGGGACAAGAGAGCTGGGCTTGTGCCTGTCTGCACTGCAGCAGGAGAGGCACGGAAAGATTAAGGAGAAAGGACAGACAGCAAAAACATGGCACTTGCTGGAGCATTAGAAATATCAGTTCTCACCTGGACAGGAGATGGTACAGC